CGCAATGTTCGCTCTCTTCTCCTCCTCTCCAGTGCTCCCCACTAACCGCAGGTAAGCCACCTTCTTCGCTTCCACTTTACCTTGTACAACTGCATTCCACCACCAGTCTCCTTTGTGGCCACCGGTGCGGCCTGAAGATACCCCTAACACCTCTCTCGCCGCCTTCCTTATATAGTCCGCCGTCGTCGACCACATAGTGTTTGCGTCCCCACTACTTCTCCAAGCTCCCATTGCCGACAACCTTCCTTCCAACTCCTGGGCTTTAACCTTAGTCAAGGCGCCCACCTAATCCTCGGGCGGCCTCGTACTGACCTCTGCTTCCTTCTTATCATAATACTAATGTCCATCACCAAAAGCCTATGTTGCGTTGCAAGGGTCTCACCTGGGATAACTTTGCAATCCTCGCACAACCTTCTGTCGCATCTCCTGAGGAGGAGATAGTCAATTTGAGTCTTCGCCACCGAATAAATATTTGTTGTGTCCTTTCGGTACATTCTTTTCCCCTGCCTTGTACAAAGATTTTGTTTCCAAATTTGATAGGTATTGTAAGTAATTTATTGATGTAAACCAACAAAAAGGTAATGCCGGTGAAATGTACATCCAGAAGAATAAGAACATTACAGCATGTGTAAAGAACTAAGGAAGTCAATCATGGTGTCCAAGTTATATCCCTTTAGTCACTTACTCTCTTTTTCTTTGAGGCTACAGGAGAGAATGGAGTGTAAGAAGTATCTTAATGCAATTAGACACTGATGGAAAATAAAAATAAAATCACACCGATATGCACTTGATGTTCCTACCTTTGCGAGAGAGCAAGAAAAGGAATCCAACAGGCCGTCAACTCCTCTATAGAAGTGGAAATATGGGAGGACTTTTACATTTAAGCTTTTGCACAAGGACTTGTTCTCATCAAAGTTCACCTTAAGGAAAAGGATTTCTGGGTGTTTTTCGGCAATCATGCAGACCTGGCCATTGAAAAGCAAAAAACAATCCAATTTTAATAAACACTAATTTTAATAAACGTATATATGAGTCATATATCAAGTTTGTTCAACATCAGGGGCGAAGCCACCTTTTGCTAAGGATAGTCAATCACCCTTCGTCAAAATATTACAAAAAATTACACTATGTATATAAGCAAAATATTAGATTTTAAATGTACATAGCATATATTGAACATCCTTTGACAGGAATTTTTTTTACTTCTTTCAAGTCTGAACATCTTTTGAGAATTTTCTGCCTTAGCCACTGTCAACATCTATACAACATGGTATTCTCTTAAAACACTGAAAATACATCTGAAACAGAAAAAGATCTAATGTTTTCTACATTGGTCTCACTAATTTGGGAACATTCTCCTACTTATTTTATTCCATATGCTCCAAACAATACAAAACAGCACAAGAAATATAAGGTACTTGTGCACATAATATAAATTTTAAAAAAGAAACTCCTAGGGATTAAAAAGGCCTCCAAATTGGATGGAACTATAAGATTTGAGAATGTCAATGAAGTGTAACGCCTCTTTTGCATGAAATTCAATCTAACTGAATTTCTGTTTGCGTAAAAAGCAATGGTTCATTACTCAGGGAAATCTGAAATACTCACCTTGGGGAACAATGCGCGACAAGAAGCACACCATGTGCCATAAAAGTCAACAATGACTAATCTATCTCCAGCTTGACTTAAGGCATCTAAAAATTCTTGAGTTGAATGGATGTCAACCATATTTGAGGCATTCTTTTCCCACCATTTTGGTTGATCAGTTTCAGCAGCAGTTGCACGTACCTGATGTCCAGAAAAAGAACAATGTTACTTGACATTGCAAGTAGAAATCAGCAATCATTCATATAAGGAAAAAGGGTAGTTAAGGGAACAGATAGACAGACCTGGTCTAAATTGGTATGAACTAAAATTGGAAACCAGTCTTTAGTAAAGTTCAAAACTTTGTCTCTCTTTAAACGAATAAGCTAAAGTTTATCTGTATTATAACTCAGTCTGTAGCATCGTCGTTTCAATAGTCTAGGTAATTCGAAGTTAATTAACTGTGGGCATAGGCGGATCGAAAATTTAAACTTGATGGCTTCAATCTTTAAAATTCTGAACAATAAACTCATTATACTTCTAAATCATGGGTTCAAAATCTAATATTTGTTGAAATTTTGCCAATTTTCACATAAATTACCGAGAAAATTACTATATGAAAGAAAGACATCCAGAAATTACCTTGAAAAGAAGCAAACGTTTGTTGGGGGCATAATCAGAAGGAATTCCAACATGGGAAGAGTGAACCCTTGTTTTCCATGAGTTCAATTTAAAGGGCAGTGAATTTGAAGGAAGAGAAAAGAGGGGAAAGGGACAAACTTTAAGTGAAAATACAGAGTAGCCTTGCATACTCCGTCTCTTTATTTACATCACAAGTAAAACAACATATACTACAGAATTAGAACTGGAATTGAAAGAGGCAGCAAAAGTAGTTGAAATTTGGATTTATGCGACCCTCGTTATCCTTGTTGCTTTCATCCCGGGGAGCTTGTTCACCCAACAATCGCCACTAATTTGCCCAACTGCTTTTGCTCCACCAACTCGATTGCAGGAAGGGCAGCCACCTAACTGGTTAAATTAAAATTTACTGGCGAAAATATAAATATGCATAATTTATGTATTATAAATACATAATTATTATGTATAATTTATGTATATATGATTAGAAAAGTAAACCATAAATGTGATCCGTTATTTGTGTAAATAAATACTTGGTTTCAATTTTTAATCTATTTTTATTATTGCTTAGGAGGAGAGAGTCCAATAGAAGTGTCCTTAACGTTTGGTAATAAATACTTTGACTACAAGATTATATACAAAAGTACTTTTTTCCTTTATCATAACTTTGGACCAATTTATGCGCAACTCAATTGTTCTATTAATATATGCTACTAATGTTCGGATCATCTTACTGTCTCCCACCAACACAAGTACCGGGATGCTCGTATTAAGGCTTAAACAAAAGAAAGAAATCATCTTATGTTTTTTTGCTTCCATTGAGATGGGAACTTGAGACTTCACGGTAAATATTTGTTATTGTCCCAAAAGATGAGTATTCTACCTTTCGTTGAGCATCAAAAGAATGTTGAATAAACACAAAGGCGCATAATTTGGTGGCAAAATATGCAGAGAACTCAAATTACATCGGAATAGTGGAAGTTATGTTTTATAGCCTATTTGTTCATTTTTCATTTTTGGGATGCACTTAGATATCAACGGAGAGGAGCAATGTGTTAAAGTGCTAGATCCCCAAGAACTGCTCGAAAGAGACTGACTTTACTGGTTATACTTGCAATTGAAAAGATAACTGAGAATATTTCAAAGTAACTTTTAAATACTTGATTTGGCCATAGAATGAACTATTGTGCTTTAACCATTAATAAGAGGTAGAGAATAAGTCGGTCTCTCCTACCTATAACAAAAGATGCGACTTCTATTGTTTGCCTTGAACACAATATTCTCCCAATCTTCTAGGTCTAGCTTTTGATTTTGTGCTGTTATGACTTGACAGCGGGAATGACACTCTTATGATGAACTTCATTAAAAAGTTCATATAAGCTTTCTCTAATATTAGAATGGCAAACTCAATCCATGTCCAAACTAACGAAAAAATAATGATGATAAGACAACAAGCAATCAAGTAGAAGATAACAAAAATACGTGGAAACTAGTCGCTGCGAGCATGCACAGATAATCGTGTTTAAGCATTGTATAATGCATGTTAATCAGTGACAATCAGGTCATGCAACTACCTCAAGGATGTTGACCCTTACATACTAACCTCATATTTCAATATCAAGTACGTCCCATGTAGGTCCTTTTTTTTTACTAGCCCATCCAGTCCAGATGCGTACTGTAAAAGGCCAACCATATTAGCCTTAGTATTCTGTGATTTTGCTACCCTGTCCTATCCCTTAGAAAACACACTTGAAGACTAAAAAGTGTGTACTGACTATTGTCAAATCGATCAAGCTGCTTTTTGGGTCTCTCTCTCTCTCTCTCTTTTTGTGAATCCCACTTTTGCGTGTGTTTCTTTATGCTGCTGCTCATAGATAAAACCTCTGGGAGCATAAGATGTTAAAACCGGGTTCCCATCCTGCTAAATAACAGCACGGCAACTACTATCCATTTGAACTTTGTTATGCGACTTACGGGTTGTTGACTTTCTTGATGATTGAATGGAATCAAGCCCTGGGTGATAAGGAACTTGAAAAACATGCACATGGGTGATACGGAACTTGAAACAGGCATGGGCAGAAATATGTCCCCCTCCCCATACCCCAATGGTGAATGTCGGAAGTCAACTTCCTGGATCACACGTGTGTGGGCTGATTCACGGTCAAGCTCCTCCCATTATAACACCCTTGAATTTGTGCCCAAAGTGGATGTTAATTGGATTCCTTTCAAACTTCCCATTCAATACCACTCAGAAATATCCCAATTCAAACTGACTTGGAACAGATCATCATGAGTTCCCCTAGATACCTCTTACCATTATCCGACAGCCCAGTCAAGGATCCCCAAATTAGGAGCCAAGCAAACTGAACGACTAAGTCAGAAAACATCCAACTATACTGTGTCCAGCTCCCACAGCCCAGAGGTCATGGCCCAACTTTGTACCCCAAAAAACCTCCAATAGCATAAAGGCAACAAGATAAGGAAAAAGCAGATCATTGAACCAAGCTGCCCAGCTTTCTCATCTGCAAAAAGAAAAGAACAAACTATGATGTGAGCACTATTTGCAAGGAAAAAGAAAAGAAGAAAATAACTTTAGTCATAAATGCTTTTGATAAACAAGACTCTCAAGGAGACAATTGTGCAAATTCAAGCAGCATTCTGAGTTCTAATACCATGACATAAAAGAATATGAAAAGGTAAATGAGTAAATTTACCAGTCACGTGATAGATCCATATAGTATGTTGATTCCTTCTTCCTATTAATTTTTCTTTTAGGGCAAGTCTATGGGACCTATAAGCTTTGTGGAATAATTATAGTTCATAAGGATTGAAAAGAAAAACGGAATCAATGAGCAATCCAAGTGTTGAGCAGTTGCTGACCAGAAAAAAAATGTACTCCTTGCTCCATGGCAAACCCAAAATATTCTAGCACCGCCAGCACCTGGGTCATTTATCTCAAATGCCAAAAGCTTCTTCCTTGATCTTAATTTTCATAAAGCTTTACGCCGGAACTAAAATCCAACCGCCTTCAGTGATTGGACAATGAAATCTCAGCATCTTATCAAATTTACTCACCTTCTTCAATTACAGAGTGATTCCCTTTAAATAACTGGCACTAACTAACTAATAGGTAAACCCACTCAAGCACACAAAACCAAGTAGTAAATAATTTAGCAGTCCACCTAAATACAAGATTGCTGTGCTGAAAATAGCTGTAGTTGAACTGCAGACCATTGACCCCATTTCATAGAGATGAGATATGCTTCAACTACTAAGTAAAGAATGCAACATGAAACCGGCGTAGAACAACACTGCGTTATCCATTAATAAGGTGCACACACTGTCAGCAAGGTAGTAACCTACTTGCTTCTTCAACCCAAAAATTCAATTTGTATCTCCTTTTATGTCTGAACTGCAAAGTGAAATACCATACTATAACTAACATTGGTTTCCCATTTGTGACCCAAACACTGCTAACAAACGATAGAATGAGCACCCAAGAGTGTCTCCTAGTGGCCAATGAAACAGGTGCAAACCTTGGAGATCAAGGTTAGACAAAATACTAGGTGATTTCTTCTCATCTGGCTACACTTTGGTAGGCATAGTTACCTAACACCTCTGCCAATGCTAGCAGGAATGGTGAAATAGTCAAGAAGCATGCAAGCTAGGCCCAAACACCACCATTATTTTAATAAAAGAAACGACTGCAAAACAGAACCTCAAAGCAAACTCCTCCCAACAATGCATTCAACATCAAGTAAATGGAAGCAAAAATTCCTTCTTTGTTTCAATTCACTGATAAAATAAGTCTCTATGAAGAACTAAACCCACCCACCACAATATCAACATATAACAGGTAAAAAATGGAAAAGAAAGTCGATATAAAAAGAATGATGATGATGATAATAATCCTAGACTATATGTTAGTGAAACTGACATCAAATCCTAGACTATAAGGAAAACTGAACCTAAATATTAAGCCGGTGTCCGCAAGAATTAGTCCCCCAAAAAGAAGGCATTTTACAAGCATAAAGAAGAAAGAGAGGGAGCGATCTACATCTAAATATTCCTGAACAGAAACGCAAAGAGACAGAAAGAAGATATAGAAGCACATCCAAGTAAAACCTCTGGTAGAAATATTGTATAATTCAGGGGCCATCGAAACAGAATACTTGCCTATGGCCTTTTGTTTGGCAGTCATCGATTGCCAATGTAGCTTCCACTGTCTTCACTCCAGATCTGAACATACATAAGCAACTCGTATTCCAATTGCTGCAGCCAGGATGACTTACCTCTTGAACAGTATAGAACAGCTACATGTTAAGTGAACGGTTCAAGAAGGATTACCCAAAAGTTGCTGCATTTTCGAATTTGAATGAGTAAAATCAGATCAGGGAGGTATTTCAAGCTCTCTAAACTCCAAGACCATCCCAGCTTCACCGCTCTGCCTTTTGTCTCCCCATCTTGTAACCATGGTCTCATTCCAAAGAATCTACAAGACCATGCCAATCTATTTTGGGCTGTAGTAGCTGCCTCCAATGGAACTGATAACTTGCTGGACCAACGCACAGTGTTTCACTGAGTGACACTATACTTCTTATTCCCTAAGGCACAATCCTTTCTCTCCAGTACCCCATAATGATTTGAGTTCATCATTAACCACCAACTTCATGTTTGTACTCAAATAAAACAGGGATAGGATAGTTACAGACTCTTCAGATCATCACTATGTTTACAGCATGCCACTGCAGAGCAGACTGTCATTCATCAAGTGCAATACTTATGATAGGCATACTCACTGCTGCTGATTTTCTTCATAAACAACTAAACAAGAAAATCCGCTCAACAAAAGCATTCATAAATATAATGCCCATACAGCATTCTCCCATAAGTACTGGTGGACATCATTCATATTTACTCTTCACTATCATTCATTTCCACTCTACATCATCATTCATTTTCCACTCTTTACTACAGTTATCCTGGCCAATATCCTATATACTTGCTTGAATAATACACCCAGGGAATAGAAACACAGTGCAAAAATCCTTCAGGGAAGTCTACCATAATAGTGGTTCCTATTGTGATGAGGGTTATTGCACTGCATCAATTTCTTCTGTCAGAATTAAGTACTGAATATATATCTCAAAGGGAGGTCCAACTAATACAATCAAGAGAACATGGGTTTGTAATGTCCTCAAAGCAGCTACCTCACGGTTAAGCTTCAAATCCCAAAATACTTTTTTCTAGTAAGCCAAAACATTGGCAACTTCATATTCTCATACAGTACACCATCTATTATGATAACAACGTGGTCAACCATACTCCCAAATTCATCAGCTAGTCCCTTGCAAAATGCTTTCTCAAGTGATACAATCTTAAAAGTTTCACCAGA